CAGTAGAAGCTTGCTAAGTCAAATTAAATGGTTAAGACGGAATGTCGATTGAGTCGACTTTTTTGTCCGTCCCTACACAATGTGACTTAGCGAGCTTTCACTGTAGTGTAGCAGTATTTGGTGACTAAAGTCGGGTCTCTTTGTCTTCATCCTCGAATATATCTATAAAAATAGCCAATTTTTGGATGCAAATGTCGTAACTCATTTCATTGTTGTTATTTTTTTTAATTAATTCAACAACATATTCAAAAGATAAAAAACAGCCAATTTCACGGTCATCAATACTATGGGCTCCGAGACCTCCTAAATTTGCGTATCTGGTAACCCGTAGGTCCAACGTTCTACCGCGCCAATTTTCATGATTTTTGCGGTTATCGACAGGTGATGGCCTCTGGCCCGCTGTTATCAGAATTTGAAAATAGGACCCAGGTTTTTTCATATTAGAGGAGACCAGAGAGCTTGGAAAGGGGGGCAAAATTTGAAATTCCTCCCAATGAAAAATGGCGGGAATTTCAAATTTAGCGGAAAATTGAAGTAAGCGGGATAAATGTTGAATTTTGGTCAGTTATAGTGTGGTGAATGAATCGAAGGTATGCTCTTTTGCTACAGGCTATCCGAAAGCGACGAAACGCTCCGTTCCGTTTCAGTCTTGGCGTGAAGTTTGAAATAAATGCTGATTTATTCATTCGATTCTTATTAGTCCAATTTCTGTCGGCCAGAGACAGATTGGACATATGAGAGGCGGGTAGGAAAATCTTTTCATTTTTTCTGGTCGTTCTTTTGTCGACGCGGACTTAAGAGAACGCAAAGCACTTGCTGGGGGTTGGGCCGCGTAGTGGTCAGGGGGCGTAGCCCCCGTTTAATTAAATCATAGATGAATCGAAAAATTAGCGATTTTTAGGTCTTTATGGGCAAAGACACGAAAAGGCTTCTTAAGCACCTTATACTACCCTATAGTTGGATATAGTTTGGATACAGAGCTTAATTGTTGGGTGTAAATGCTGCAGTTCATTTAATTGATGTTATTACTTATGATGCACCCAATGAAATATGCAAAATGTGAAAAAAAGATGCAAACTTCACGCTCATGAGAAAATTACGGGAAATGAATCGAAAAATAGTGAATTTTAGATATTAGCGCGGAAAAATACGGGGAGACATAACTTCGAACACCAAACATACTATCCTCATCTATAATATACCTAGTTTGACGACTGAGTCAGAATCATAAAGTAATGATATTAGAAAGTAAACTTTTCTGCATAAGTAAAAATTTTGACGTATTCCAGACCTTCTTGCGGAATTTCAGTGCATCTATACAGTACTTCTGGACCGCCTCTAAGAAATAAGTAGTAGGTATTTCCGGACTTTCCGGCGACCAATAATTGATCACTTCATTGGAAAAAAAGTCTCCAGGATCCACAGTCCAGACTCTTAAACAATTGGACAAGAAAAAATACTCTTGATTCAATAGGATTTTTGCTTGAATCGAGATTAAAGCCTCTCAATTTCAACGGATTTCTTGTTCGTTCACGCAAACATCCGATTGAGTCAAGAGTGCAGTTCCTTGTCAAATTATTCAAGAGTCAGGACTCTATAGATCCGAGAGACTTTTTTTTCCAGCGGATACTATAAAATAAACTTTTATTTCTTTAAAAAGTTGACCTGTTCCGGACCGTAATTAGGAATTTCCGTACTTCTTTAGTGCTGAAGTTCTGGACCGCCTCTAAAAGAATTACTATGCCACTATTTCCAGAATTTCCGGACCAGTAGACAGACATCTTCAGAATCTTCACGCAAAAAAATAGTCGGTACTGATGACAGAACCTTCTGTTCGCAGGGCTTCTGAACTTTCTTTTTTACAATATAGAACTTTCCTGTTGTGAGAACAAAAATTTTGGGCGTGAGCGCAGAGTTCCCTGTCCTTACAACGGAAACTTCTGTAGAAGGAAAAAATGAAACTGCTGATTTAACAATTTTGTAGTTAAAATATGCCCGAAATATTTCAAATGTACACTTTACAATAGTGGAAAGCTACTTTCACTACAGGGGTGGTTAAATATAATTTTTTCTATTGTAAAATCTACATTGAAACATATCGGACACTTTTTTTCAACTACAAAGTTGTTAAATCAGCAGTTAAATTTTTTTCCGTCTGCAGAAGTTTCCGTTATGAGGACAGAGTACCTACTCTGCGCTCACGAATAAAGTTCTGTTCAAACGGCAGGAAATTTCTATAAGCATAACGAAGAAAATCCAGGCCCTGCAAACAGAAGGTTCTGTCATCAGTGCCGACAATTTTTCCCATGAAGATGTCTGTTTACTGGTCCAGAAAGTCCGGAAATAGTACTATTCTTTTAGAGGAACTTTGGTACTAAAGAAGTACGGAAATTCCACAAAAAGGTCCGGAACAGGTCAACATTTTTAAACGTAATAAAAGTTTACTTTCTAGTATCCGCTGAAAAAAAGGTCTCTTGGATCTAGAGTCCTGACTTTTGAATACCTAATTTGACAAGATAATACACTCTTGACTCAATCGGATGTTTGCGTGAACAAACAAGAAATCCGCTGAAATTGAGAGGCTTGACTCTCGATTCGAGCAAAAATCCGATTGAATCAAGAGTATTTTTTATTGTCAAATTTTTTAAGAGTCTGAACTCTGGATCCAGGAGACCCTTTTCCAATGAAGTGATCCACTGGTCCGGAAATACTACTGATTTCTTAGTGGCGGCCCAGAACTACTGAAGAAGAACGGAAGTTCCGCAAGAAAGTCCGGAATATGTCAAAATATTTAAATATGCAGACAGTCTTACTTTCTGATATCTATCTATCTTCTTCTATATATTTAATATCATAAGGCCTTTTTTGGCCTCCAACAGTTTGTGCTAATTCGATCTCGGAAACTACTGGACCGATTTTCCTCGGATTTGTTTTAAATGAAAGCTCTTAGGCTGTAGACGTGCCAACATTCCTTGGTTTTTCGATTTGCGCGACCGACGTTGCAATATTTACCTTGATTTGATAACGACATATTTGCATTTTTGACGCTGGACAGTTTGTGCTAATTCGATCTCGGAAACTACTGGACCGAT